GTGAGTGAGTGTGTGCGAGCGCTTGTGTGTGTGCGTGTGTGCGTGTATGTGCCTGTGTATGTATGTGTGTGTGTGTGTGTGTGTGTGTGTGTGTGTTTGTGTGTGTGTGTATCACCCACTTTCTTCATTTGCTACTTTTCTTTTCACTGCCTCCCACACGACTAACGGTAAGACAGACCTCAGGCATGCACCTAAACTGAAGTTATGAATTATGTATGTGAACGACTTCTTGTAACAAACATTACAACGTTCGTATTCCTGTAGATAGAACGGACTTCCCATTCACTTCTCAACATGTTTTAGATGGCTTACCCACTTTACTTTTAAAAAAAGAAATGAAATTGGGATGCATGGGAAATATTCTTTAATTATTCGTATAGGACCCAGAGAAAGCACCCTCCACCCCCCAAAAAAAAATTAGAAAGAAAGAAAAAGAAAAGAAAAGAAAAGAAAAGAAAAAAAACCCCCCCCCCCCCCCCACACACACACACATACACAAACTCACCGAAAAAAAGCTCAATTTATACTTTGAGCTCATTTTTAGAATGAATACATGTATTATGGTCGTTGAATGCTTACCAAATATTATGCTGTACACTTTGTTTGATCAGATCTCCAATTCCGAGAGACACTCAAGGAGGGAAATGCTCAGCACAGAGGGAAAGGCCGCCGCGATGGCAAAGGTAAAGACGATTTGTTATGAAAAACCCGGTGAAAGTAATTAAGACCTAGTGCAATCTTGTGCTTTTGAAACTGGATGCTGAAAAGCTGTAGCTTTGGTGGTAAACAGTGCATGACGGATGATCATGAATGTAACCGTATCATTGTAATTTAAAAGGAAAACTAACTTAAATAACGAAGAGAAACAGACGTTAGACTGAGTGATATCAGGGCATGGGACGCTTATGTTCTGTAAAGATGCAACGTTGCATAGTGAAATCAAGTATTGGATGAGCCAAGGAGTTAGAAACTCCATAATATACTTGGTGTTAGAGACTATGCTGGTGACAGAACCAGGTGGGTTTGATTTGAAGTACATAATAATCTTTTGTGCCATGTAATTCAACATGATCTTTGAAAAAATTCTATTTGCAAAGGCGCTTGATAGCTGACAATTTCTGAATTGTTTCATATTTCTTTTAGACGCATTTTTTAAAAATTGGGCATTTTTATATACCTGTAGTTACAAAATCTAGGTTTGTTTTTTAATTAGAAACTCATAGTATAGAACTTAAAACCTCGAGTTTACTTGCATATATCCATTTTCAGTCACAGCGTAATCATACATATTTTCAGATACACTTTTTCGAGAAGAGAGCACGGTCACTCTCCAACGACTCCCAGAGATCTAAATCTGCCGATTCTGCCAGCGGGGTTGGAGATAAGAGAAGACAGTCATCCCCCTCCTACGGAGGGCGGTCGAGCTCCGCGAACTCTGACGCCAAACAAGCCCGTAACCGCAGCCGAAGCTTGTACGAGCAAGTTACTGGGGATGGGAATGAGACTTCTGATTGGTCTTCCACTGGATCGTTGTTTTCTGGCCGAGAGAAATCTTCTCCTAAACTCAGCGACTCGCCTATGCATGGATCACAAGGAGATGAACTTTTAACTCAGACAATCAGTGAAAGAGTACAAGAACATTTGCCAGAATTTTCCTCCGATAACGACAGGGATGCAGAAAAGGAAATGGAATCTCAGATGATAAGCGAGAAAGAGACAGACACTCTGTCAGACTTTTCGAGTGGTTCTCTAGTGAGGGATAAACCTCCACCTCATGATCAAACTTCTCTCGTACAAATCCCACAACAGAAGCCGCTCAGCCAGCACAGAAATCAAGAACATGTGTTGCAAATCCAATCTCCAAGTAGAAATGGGGCCAGCTCTGTTGGAGACAGTGCTGCTTCCATTAATGTATCTTCGGAAAGTAGCAATAGAGAAAATCAGAGCTTTGGAAATGGTAGCAGAGGTAGAGACAGCCCCAAAGGATCCAATGGTGTACCTGATGGTTACAGAGGGCATTCTTCACCTACACACAGCTCCCGAAGCGTGGAACAAAGTGGGGTTACTAATGGGGCAGGTAGAAGTTCACCAAGTGGGGACCATTCTCTGCAAAGAACCTCGGACGAAAATAGATCGATACACGCACCAAGAGAAGAAAGCTTAAGGATAAGGATCAAGAGACCAAAAGACTACATCCGCCAGTGGGAGGATACCATGGATAGACTCTCAGGTACGCCCCCTGCCAGTGATGTTTCTCCTCGTACTCCGCTTATAAGCAAATATGCCAGATCAAAATCATTTGAGTCAGGGGGATCGCCGGTAACCTTACGGGCTAGCCAAGCTAGGGAGTACTCATCGGCCCTAAGAAGTAGGTCAAACGAACTGGCACCAAAAATCACAGTAACGTCAGATGCCCATGGCCGTAGGGCACGAGCTCAAGAAGTTTTGAATAAAAGTACTAGGTCATCCACATCCGTTACTTCCACTTCAGTTGGCTCAACGCTAGTCAGCCCGGCTTCCACAGTGAGCTCTGAGAACCAAAGCCTTCAGTCCATTTTGGAAAGACTGCCTGAACACATGCGGCAGCAGGCAAAGAACGCTTCAAAATTCCTGATGCACAGCAGCGGCCCTGAAGTTATAGCTCTCATAGATGCCATTAAAGATGCTCGAGAAAGCACAGGCACGAGAAGACCTAGAAATGGTGTTGCATCTGAAGAAGAAGGTGAAGGCACTACATTGAAGAGAGTTCATCAGAGTGAGGCAAGTCCTTCAACAGCGAGGGTTCGATTTCAACCTGCTGGCACAACAAGGTCTCAAGAGATGAGAGGGTTGGCGTCTGAAAGCGTGAGACCTTCAGCTTTGAGGTCTTCCACTACTTCCCCGGTGCCTTCTAGAGTTGGCTCCTTAACCTCCCCCCAGAGGCGAGCCATAAGCTCCTCTGGTGTTTCCGGTAATGGTGACGGCGAAAGAGGCTCTGATCGGATGCTGTCAATCTCTCCTAGGGATAGGTCAAGGTCCCTTTCCCCAACAGCATTAGGCTCAGACAGCAGGAGTTCAACTTTAAACCCAAAGAGTCCAAGAGGGACAGCCCTGAGTGATGGGGAGTCCACCTCTCCGTCTCGTGCCATGAGGGAAGAGTTGCTACTAAAGAATTTAGGACTGAATACTAGGGTTGTAGAAGACGAGAGACCCTCTTCACGACTGAAAGCTTTATCAGCCTCTCCTAGACTCAATGATACCGATTCCCCTGGAAGAATGTATACGTCTTCCCCACGAAAACCGCAAACAGCATACCCAGAAGTGACACGACTCGAGCTTGGATTGGACTCCGACAGGAGCTACGTCAGTCACACGGAAGATGGCAGCGAGTCTCCACCTCCTGTCAGAAGGGGTGGGGCTGGCAGAGTGCCCCGGAGAGAAGCGTGGGAGCAGCAGAGGAAAAGGAAGGAAGAGGCGACTCTGGCAGCAACGTTCACGAGCAGTAAATCCGACTCAGTCGCTCAAAGCAAATTTATCGAGGTGTTATGCAAGGAAATTGAAGTGCTCAAGCAGAAAGTGGAAATGATGGAGGAAGAGGAATTTAAACGAAGCAGAAGCCGATCTGGTGCTTCGCCAAGAGTCAGCGGAAAGTTTAGACTAAATGATTCCATACGAAATGAAAATAATGAAATGATTTTGGCCCCTCGAGTTGCTTTATCAGTGAGCCCTAGAGCCGACCGGAGCATATCATGCCCTCTCCTACAGACAAGTAGTCGATCGGCTTTGCTCAGATCTCCTAGGGCTGCTAGCAGTGTCACTCGTGCCGACAGCACAAGTGTTAAACGACCCATGGCGTCATATTCATCTGCAACACACAGTAGGTCCTCTAGTATCCCGGGCTCTGCTGGCAATATCACTCACACCCGAGCCGAAAGTCCACAAAGACAGGGAGGGATACGTCTTGGATACACCAGCCCTGCCCGAAGCGTTACTCCTGAGATCTGGGGCAACGACCTCACAACTGCAAGTGGGTTGGATCCAGAGAAGCAAGAAAATTGGAAGCTCCTCATTTCAAGCCGGAATCTCAGCGAAGCGGAGGTGATCGAGCTGAAGCAGGCATTAGCATGTGCAGTTGTCGAACACGATATCCTGACAGCTAAACTAAATAATGCTCGTCATGAGATTCATGACAAACTGCGACATACTAACGAAGTGCTGGACGACTGTCGTCACCATCTAGCCAAGTCGCAAGCTGAGAATATGGAACTGAGAACAAAATTGGAACAGGAGCGCCAGAGAAGCGAAGGATTTGAGAACAGGATAAAAGAGATGGAGAGCAACATGTCTGAGGTATGTTGTAGGATATGAAGCCGTATCCATTTAGTTTTTTTCGTGCTGTTACTGTATTTAAAGTGAGTCACGTAACGAAACAAACTGCTTTGCCTGCTTGTTTTTTGCAAGCAATGCACCGGTGGTGATATAATTGATATTTGGTTTAACCATTCCATAATATGAACTCGAAAAATATTTCTAATAGTGCCATAAGCAGTTCATCCATGCAAGAACGTGAATTCCTGTAGAAGTAGGTATCGTCTTTTTGCATCTGTTTGTTGTCATCTCAAGATAGTCTTAAGTTCTCTCTGAATTAGTTTATATTTGGTTATCAAAATAACTATACATGCATGTGTCAAACGTCTTAGCAAATTAAAGTGCAGGATCTTTCCAAAATCTATTCTTAACGTTCCACCTCTGCAGAGGGACGGGGGGGGGGGGGGGGGGAAGGGGAAAGGGGATGGGCGGGAGGGGAGTCTGCTTTTCTAAGTTTTTCGTAAGGGTATAAGAAAATGCTAGACGGCAATGATAAACTATGCGTTGAAAACAAAAACTCGAAAACCTTTTTGTTTACGAGAGCTGCCTAAGATATCTGTGTTTTTCCCTTGGCTCCAGATTAGAGCAGACAATCAGACATTGGAGGATGAGCTCAGTCAGACGTCTAGTATGTTGGACAAGTCAGTACACGAGACCAAGCCAGGAGTGGATGCTCTGAAGGCAGAGAACACGACTCTTATCAGCCGACTGGCTCATGTGGAGAACGAAAACGACTCTTTAGTTGAGGTAAGTAAGTTTATACCCAGTGCACACTGACAATGGAATTCAGTCAAATTGAATAGAACCCAGCCAGGGGGGGGGGGGGGCGCAAAGGTACCACTTTAGCACAATTTGGTCTAATCCTCCAAAATCAAACAGGGTCGTTTTTTGAGGATTTGATCAAATTGGGCCAACATGACAGCGTTTGCCCCTCCATGAAGGACAAATCTGGCTGGCCCTGACTGTACTAAATAAATCAAATAAATCAAACTGGCAGTGTGTACTGAGGATAAGAGATAGCTCAAATAATTCTTGTAAAAGTAAGATCACTTTTACACATGAAGCTATTTTTTCAACGATGTGAGCAAATTTCAAATCTAATTGGTTTAAACATAATGGATTCAGAGCTTTGGGTAATGTTTAAAAGGGTTTCCCTGCGTTGTCTTGGGTTTGGCAAGATAATTATTTAAACTGAAATCGTAAGAACAGAAATAGAAACCGCTTGTCACAAATCTACCCAAGACTAATAGGGTGGCTAGTACATGGTTCTGCTGTCTTGTACCAATACTTACTGTCTTTCGTTTTGGCTCAGTTAGTCTGTATCAGTCTGTTGTGAATCCTATAAGCCATGAAGGTCCTGTTACAAACTGCTGAATAAACCTGTTTGCAGTTTGCAGGTAATAATTACTCTTATTAATAGGAGTTTCAATAGAAATTCGTCTAATTTCACAACACGTCGGTCCCTTGGGTCACTTACCAACAAAAACATTATTTTTCTCCAAACTTCGAACTTTGTTCCAGACTTTTCAATCGTGTGATTGCAAGCTATTTGCCAGAGCAATAGGAGCACACCGTGAGCTCAACGCAGTACTATGAAACTGATGGCCTTAGTTCGAATAACCAACTGGGCGTTTTCACCGAGAGCGGTTTTTAGGAGTTTTAAGCTTTCGCCTACTTGGCTCTGCCTTGTCAGAGGTGGGTGCTAAATTCGGAGGTCCCACCTCCTAAATAACTTAACAGTGTTGACAGGGGTGTCAGACCTGTACAGTGACAGTGAAATGACGTTCGATTCTTATGTTTATTCTATGTGGATTCCGAACATTTTTGTAAATGTAAATGACTCTAACAGTTCAGCTCCCCCATCGACATAGTTTAGAACATTAAGGAGGTGGAGTGTTTCTTTCTAGCCTGTCAGGGATAACGTTGGATAAGTGGGATACAGAATCCCGACAGAAAGACGGAGATTCTCGATAAAGTAAGCTGCCGTATGTGGGAATTGGATTCATGCCTTTTTTTTATGCGAAGTAATATTAGACACGTGAGTGATTATATGTAGCGAATAGTTTTTACCACATAATAGACACCATTTCTCTTAATACTTTTACAGCAAGTGCAAAACTTAAAGCGAACGCAAGCCAAGACAATGAACACGGTGGATGAGCTTCGCGATTGCTTGCACAAAGTGAGGAGGGAGCGCCAAGAATTGTTTGATGAGTTGAGTGTCATCCAACAGAGGGAGCAGTCGTCAAGAGTTCGTGACATTCTCAACAGCTATCAGGAGAAGGGCGCCAGGGATGAACGTGAGCATGAGAGAAATATCCGAGAACGCCAGTCACGCTCTCTATCCACGAGTTACAGTGTGAGAGATTCCAGTGTGTTCAGCGACCTGGACGACACAGCAGTGCGCTCTACACACCCTGTCCATGACACTTCCTTCTCGTCTTACTCACCACGCCAGGTGACTCCGAGGCGCTCATCTAGTCAACAGCGATACCTTGCCTATGATGACCTCTCTCCGTCAAGTTATCGGGAAATTTACCCACACAGAAAGAGCTATCAGCCCCGAAGCCGTAGTGTAAGTCCAAGAGCCAGGAAGATGTATTCACCTACTTGCTATCTGTCAACCTCCAATTTAGATGATTCAGTAGTAGATCAAACCCTACAGGAAATAGAGCAGGACATGGCAAGAGACAGACAAGCATTTCTCCGCAACAACACTCCTCTTGCCAGAAGACGACTCAAGCTGTCCTCGTATCCGTCCGATGAGGACCTCCAAATCGGCTCTCGGAGTAGATCAAGTTACGGCCAGGGAAGAGGATCGTCCCACCAAGCTTCTCCCGACAGAGGGGGTAGTGGCTGTGAGTCAGACGTCGCTCACCGTTCACGAAGTTTGTCTTACGGGAAGGACCTGGTCGGAAAGAGCACACATTCGGCCCGAGAGAGTGACTACCTGTTGCCCCATTCATTTGCCTCTAGTGATGATGCCTGGCGTAAACGTAGTTCCAGTTCAAGCCCTTCGAGGTTCTCCCCGAGGCCCGGTATTTTAAAATCAAGAGAGCCGTTGAGGAGTCGTAGTCCTTCAAGCTCAAGACTTGGTGTTGGAGACTATGCTGGTGACAGAACCAGGTGGGTTTGATTTGATGTAGACGCATCATGGAGCCTATTTTATAGAAAACACACACATGCAAAACCTCTTTCAAATTGTAATATGATTGCACGACACAGCAATATTTTGAGGAAAACGAACATTTAATTACAGAGCAGAACTGTTTGGGTGCACTACTGGAGAAAATATAGCCTTCCCCAATAAACCTCACTTATATAAACCATGTTTCTTATGCCAGTTACGTCTTTATGTTTTTTATATTCATTGCAAGATAAGATTTTTTCATCCAGATGTCTATTGTTGCAATTTAAAGAAAAGTTTTCCCGTTTCCTCTTCTCTAGCTTTATAAATATCAGGTTTTTATGTTTATGCAATTGTAATTAACAGAGAAAATAGAAGTAATTATAATTTTGTACCAAATGATATCTCTTTTTTGAACTCGTGGCATATAATACCGAGTTACATTGTGTCCTTGTCGAGTACAATTTCTGAGATAATTCCTGACTCCAGTCTTCCTGGCTCTCGTTCAGCATCCTCTCGACTCTTGGCTCAGTCACACCGGAGCGCAGCCGCAGTCCTGTGTACTTTCCCAGAGAAAGTCATTCCCCTCCCACTCGACTCTCTCCCGACCACACCAAGGAGAAGGCGTCTACCCCAGTAGCCAGACGTCCAATGCACCAAAAGAGCGGGGCAGGAGCCATTGCAAGAAACCTCCAGAAAGAATTTGACAAGGAAGACAAGATTCTGAATGCCTTATCAAAGTCAACAGTCTTTCAGAATAAGTCGTGGTTTGAAATGCAAAGGTAAGACCTGTTCACACAGTTTGCACAATATAATTAAAAATAAAATCTTTTGCATGACTTCATTATACGTGCATACCCATTAGCCATATAGAGTGCATGTGTACGCTTGAAACACAAATGTGACTACTTATATACCAGTTTGAATGTGCGACTAAAATGATAAAATCTAGAAAAGTGAACTGATTTGTATAACACCAACTCTTATGAAGTTGAAATTTTTTCGTTACTGAACCAAAAGGCAAAGCTGGGAAATATGAAGTTAGTTCTCTTTCGAAAGAAATATTTAAAAAATCTAAATTGATTACATTTCAATTATTCTTTTCTGAATGACTTGCAATCATTGAATCTTTTTGCAAATTATTCTTTTGGGCAGTAACCTTTAACAGTACAACATTATTTCAATGCTGATGTTGTGTTTTCAGAATTATTGCAGTGTTTGTTAAGCGACTCAGGTATTATGCAATCACTCTCTAGACTCCAAATGCTTGGAATTCTTTCTTGACACTTTGATTTCTGTTTGCTGTATGTCAAGTTTGAGTTTCCTCCTGAGTTTGATGTTATGACCGTCATTAAATATGATTTTATTTCATCTTTCTCAATGTCTCTATAAATGACAAATATAACCTGAGGCATTCTTGGTACAACAGAGACTGGATTTCCATTACCTTTGAGCGTTTGTTTTTTTTAACGCCTGTTGCCTTTTTGGTTTTACTACACTGTCTCATCTTTGCTAGGCTTATGTTTTCTGTTTAGTTTTAACCAACGTTTCTAATAAATATTTAAGTTTTATTTTTACCTCTCTCACTTTTCAGAGATATGTAATTGAGTTAATTATAAAAGTCAATAAATTGACTTTGTTATTACCCATTCCAAGCTACAATTAAAGAACAAATAAATACAACAAAACTCATTCCGCAACTTAAACGCACCTTTAAAGTTACCTCACAGGCAAAAAGAACGTTTTTTTACATGGTGTTGGGAGTTTTGTTTTGACTTATTCCCCGTTGCTTTTGTTTTCGTTTTCATTCTTAATCCACCCATTTTACACCGAACACAGTGATTCAGATGGTGATGACACTGGCATAAACTCTAGCATGAGCAGTCGCTCTAGCATTGAGCGGACGGGCACTGCAAGGTAATGTGCACCATAGCACGCTTTCTCAGTAGCAATAGTCACTTGCTTGCAACTTGGACTCTGGTCTCAGAAAGTACTATTTCAGATACCTTGTTTTCAACAATGCATTATAACCAAGTGTTTTGAATTTTGAGTAGTTTTTACTTCTGTTATGTATTGTACATTCAGTGCTCACAGTAATACAAATGTAATAATTAAGGAAAGCAATAATATTAGTTTTATTTTTTATCTGTTGTTCTGAAACGTCTTCGTGCATGATAAGGAAAGCTTTAGTTCGCTGAATATGCTCCCATTTGAAATGTCTCTTGAGAGACTAAGATGGCAAACTGTAATGGTCAGGTTGGACAAGAGCGTAACTTGAAGTTGGGGGAGGCCTAAGGCAGAAAGAATCTTCATTACTTTTTTTTTCTTGTATGCACTTAATCAAAAGCAACAGATTTATAAATAGACCACCACATCTTGCATCACAGACATAAATCCATGTAGATTATTTTCGTTGTGGTCTTTTCTTTACATTACTTTAAACACATTTTTTGTCTTCAATGTTAGACCCTTCACACCTTCCACCCGTCCCCTCCCCTTGCCCTTTCCTTTTCCCTTTGCGATCTCATTGTATTTTGATATTTCTGTCTTCTTACTTTTCTGATAGCATCTTTACTTTATACTGTTACAGTGATTTAGACTCTGTACATTACGTGTGACTCGCACATTATCTTTAGAGATATTGTTGATGAAGGTGTACTCAGCCGTTACTATAGCATTACAGAAGAAAATGCATAGTGAAAACAGGGTATCGTTAAGATTGATGGTTTATTTTCTACAGTCAATTTAAGTCTTTGAACACGAATTCGGTGATGAATCCATTCAATGGTCCTCTATTTACATTGTAATACTTTCTTTGATTATAACTAATTCGTATTAAGAGTGCAAAATAAAAAGTATGTTTCTTTCTTTCAAAACGTTAATCTAATAAGTCAGAAGTTTTATGAAACGTGAGCACGATTTTATTTTCTAACGGCAGACTATGTCCATTATAATTTTATGTTTATTAACCATTAACCAAATTGCCGTGTTCTTCTGCTAACCTTAACAGTGATGAGCTTTTTTTTTTGTTTCGTAACAAAATCTACTTTAAGATAGTACGTCACATATAAATATTATGAGACAAGTCATCCATACATTCTCTGTTGCGACACGGAAATCCCCATTCCACTCAAAAGATGTGATTCATAATACTGTTTTACCATTCTTTTAGCTCTCTTTAGCATCTGAACGCTTTGAAATCTCATTTATTTACTATTCTGCCTTTGCCGACTTCAGTTAGGTAGTTATTACTGGCGTCTTAGGTGTAGTGAATAGGATGTTAGTATTTACTTACAAGAAGATGTGAGGTCTACTCCAGTCTATAGACTATCTTTCTATCTGCACAGGTTTGTCCCCCGACAAGCATAGTCGAAGCACCCGCCCTTCTAAATGCTCTATATTACGTTCTAGGTTTACATTACATTACATTTTGGACGGTAGTTTGACCTGAAGGTCCGAGGCGCAAGATCCAGGGCAGAGTAGGACTCACCCCCCCCCCCCCCAACCATACGTTCTGTCCCTACTGAAAAATGTCCTTTCAGTCTTGTTCTCGTACGGTGAATGGTGCGCACAGCCTTCAACATGGCTTTCTTTGTTTCTTAAAGGGTTTTAACATCATCAAGAAACTTTGACTTCTTATTCTGTTACAGAAGATGTGGACACAATAGCTGACAAATGTGGAGATAACATGTAAAAATGCCCCATCTATTATGAGAACTCTTAATCCTGCATATAGGATTTGTGAACGAACAAACGTTCTTCAGAATAAGAAATAGATCAACGACCCTGTTCAAAGGGCGTCCTGATAGACCCTTCAGACTCAGAAGTAGCTGCCCACATTGAAAAAAAAAAATGCGTTGTTGACATCAGCGCTTTGTGGAGTTGTATTTTACAGGCGAGACAATATTTATCTAAAGTACATGTATTTTGTGTTCTCTTGCTCTGCGCCTACTGGACAAGATGAGGTGGGATTCAAATGAATCGGAACACCCAAGAGACTAACACGGGTTGTGTTGATCAATAGGTTAACTCTAAGTTGGTAAGACAAATGTGCTAGAAGTGTAAGCCAAACATTTCGTTATGCTGTTTAAACTTTGCTTACTCCAACATAATGTTAAAATCACCATTTCTACGAGTTAAGATAAGAGTTCGTTAATTTTCAGTTAACTGCTAAGATCTTAGCTGAAACGATTTGGTAAGATGCACAAATCCAGTACACGGGTTGAAAACTCTCATCTGTTTTTTCTTCCTTTTTCCGCTGTTTTGTCCACAGGAAGAAAACGCCATTGCTTACCGAACAACAGCGGAGATATGCAGATGAACTAATAGAAAAATATACTGGAAACACACCTTTGTAACAGCTGCAATGAATCTGTAAGTTTACTTAGGCTAATCATACGAAGGAAAAATTGATTACGATTCGTCTGAAAAAAAGATATTAAGACTTTGACATTACTTCTGAAAACTATAGATGTTACAATATATGCAACTATACATTTCATTACATTGCATCAGGTGCCATCTTTTAAAGCTTCCATTTGATAACTATGTAGTCTGTATTGTTCATACTTTTCATTGACTTAAATTTACCCCTTTGTTCCAACCTTATCTCAGTGATGTTGTGGAGCATTCCCATTTGAAATGTGACCGCGCTGGATCTGATACTGTCATGCTGGCAAATTGTGACTCCAGATTTGTTAATGTTTTACTTAGCATAACATGCGTACGGTCTAGAATTTGTCTTTTTTTTGCACTGCTCTAGGAAACAAGTACTTTAACTTTGAAAACAATGTAATATATGACAAAAATTATTTTATGAATAATTACAATATGATATGAAATGCCGGTTTTGCTTTCATGATGTTGCCTATTTGTTTAAGTTTGGGCAAGATGGGACTCAACACGATTTGTTTTACCTTTTTATGAGGCAAGAATTAATTATTGTTTCCTAGGGTTTTACTTCAATGGCCAAGTTTGTACTATAATTTTGTAACCTTCTTTCCTGCTTGTGACTTCTCCTTTACTCTTGTAGTAGCGTTTTTAACATTGTTACATATTTTGAGATGGGAATACCGACATGAACGGGGCAGCTATGCTTTCTACTACGTTTTTGGGATATTTACCAAAGTATGGCTAATATGTCTTTGTTTGTCACCAATTTTTCGTTTCACAATTAAGAAACGAATCTATTATAGTATTAACACGTCTTCTGTGATCCTCAGATACACACCTTCACCTGACCAGTATTGTTTAAAACTGCGGCTGTTTTGCAGACATTTCATGGCCTCACAAGGACCTAGAGAGGCGGCGATTATAGACGGATATTATGATCGTGTGGCGTTTGGTGATTAGTGACAAAGGAAAATTAGCATTCAGATTTCAAAGCTTTACATTTTACATTTAGCCTCATCCATATTCTTCTTGCCTTGGATTTTATAGTGCACTTACGTATCAATGATTTGTGCGTGGTCTCAGATGTGATTCATATTTTGCTTGTCGTTAACTTGAGCCTTGCATTCCAGTAACAACTATCTGTGATTTTATGAGCTTCAAATCTGAAAAAACGAGGAACGTGTTAAATTGCAATGTGATTTTAGAGATTGATATGGTGTACAGTTTAATTCTTTGGTGAATTTAGTGTTTGCATCGTTGTCATATTATGGTTTCCAGTATTTTTTAACGTTGTTAAAGCTAGGTACTAGGTATTTTTGTTTTGAGTAATTTTCAACGATTTCATCATTATTATATATTTTGTGTGTCCTCGCTGCATAGGTTGCAAGATCTCAGCTCGAAAGCATACGTGCCTTTCTTTATCTGGAACTTATTTTTTCAGCTCAGGCCGTTCGTGGTTTGTTCTTTTTCTTTCATAGTTGATTGTTGCATCTGTTTAATAAATATACTATGTAAAAGAGGAAAGACATTATTTGTCATAAAATGTAAATAATTTAGATTGTATTTTATTTCTCAGTCGAATGCCTGTTGAAGAAGTATAACAGGAATGTATATAGCACAGGGGAATGTTCATGCTTGAAACGTTGACTGTACATATATTCGTCAACAGGTGTTATGACTAGTAAGCCTTTCCAGAAACCTTTATTCTGTCGCTTTTTCATGACGAAGATAGAAGTGGCGGTAGGAATTATTATCGTTTTGGATTTTTCAAATTTTTTAAAAGAAGTAATTGCAGTTTAAAACGAAACTGTTGAGAATACTTGGTTGTATATTCTTCACTATGAAGTTAGTACACTCGTCAGCCACAGCTGTAGAAAAGCGAACTGCGTGTTTTGATATCTAACTTATCTCTTGTAACTGCCGGCGTTAGTTTGGACTGAACACGTCTAAATCTTTAGGGGAAGAGCATGTGTTCGATTTTGCATGCGTTGTGTGCTCGTACTGGATGTGAATATGTTTTGTGTGTTGTTTAAAAAAAAAATGAAATCGAAAAGTTTTATGAATAACGATGAGTGTACGTGTTGTGCACTGCAAAATAATTTCCCTCTTTAAAATAACAGTCTTTTTTACTTTCATGGGAGAGATGATATTTCTTGCACCTAGTTTTCATCAGGTGAACTTGCAACCACTGTGAAAGATCACATTATTCTTTATGTTCAGTCAAGTCCTAGTCCTAGTGTTTACAAATCTCTCTCTCAGCGGAATGTTGTGTAATGGTAATACTCTCCACCATTGCATATTGAAAGACTTTTGTTTGGTTCCTATGTGCAGAACTTTATTCTATCAATAAATATATGTCCTTCCTCTGGAATGCTGTACTCGTTTATCCAAGGGTGGCCCTGACAGACGGGGTGAAAGCAGCCCGCCTCCTTAATGTTGTAACATGTGTCAAAGTGAAGCAACAACATCTAGAACCATTTGAATCAGCTAGGTCATAGTAATTTATACATTTTTCTTCGTGCCCTGTGGGTTTTCAATGTTTATGTCAGTGTAGTTTGATTAAGAACCGTACATAATTATTTACCTTGCTTTATTATCTAAAGTAGACGTAGTCAATGCCAATGAGCTCACAGTATTATTATGCACTTTGTTTATATGTGTAACAAGTCAAGATATATGATACATTTTTGTGATTTTATCAATCTATTTGTATAGAGTTGCCAGTGCATTTTTACACGGCAATCTCTTACAGGAAATTAAAATATCTGTGATATTTTTTTGTGGATTTCTGCCCCATACTCTTACCAAAGTGGTATGGAATATTTTTAGATACAAGGAATGTTGTTTAATTGATTTTTCATGTTTTGCTTGTTTCTGTCATGTTCATGTTGTCTGCTCTTAGAAAAGTATAAACGTAAAATAATCACGAAGCGAAAAAATAAGTTACAGCTAGGGGTGTATTTCACCTCCTCCTTTATTCCGTCTACACTTTTCATATTTTGTTTCTCACACAGGTGGCTGATGTAGAATATCATGTGACTCACTCGAAGCATTCATACTCGGGCACGAACAACCAACTTCTGTATAATGTTCAGAGACCATTGTAGGCGTGCCCGAGGATGTAGCATGACAGTGGACCTGATTTAACAGAGTGTTCATGTGATATAATAATAAGCTATCTGTCATAAGAAGACTTTATGGTCTTTTGTGTCTTAACAGATGATCTTAAAGCATCATGCGTGGTACATCTTTGCCTGGGCGGTAGAAATAGAGTAAACAGATTGCCCAAGTATTACTTCCCTCCCACCAGATCTGGACTTCTTTGATATGCTCCAAAAGGATAGACAGGAACAAGAAGACAAAATATGAGAATGAGTGGGATCAGATATTGTGGAGAAAATAACATGGGGTTGTTGCCTTTCCCTTTTTTTGATTCCCCATTGATGTATCTGAGGTAACAGTGAAGACAAGACACCTACTCTCATCTATCGTTCTCTCCCCTTCCCCTCTTCCATGCCTTCTCTCTCTCTCTCTCTCTCTCTCTCTCTCTCTCTCTCTCTTTCTCTTTCTCTCTCTCTCTATCTCTCTCTCTCTCTCTGTGTGTCTCTGTGTCTCTCTTTCTCCTCCCTCCCCTACCCCATTCTCCTTTCTCTCACTCTCTCCATTTCTGTTTCGTTTTCATCCTCATTTCTCTCTTCCCTCTCTCCTTGTCTCTCTTTCAATTCATACTTCCTCCCCTCCCTCTCTCTGTATGTACATTGCTCACTAACTCCACCCCTCCCCCCTTTTCTTACTGCCCTACTCTCTTCTCCTCTCCTTATTTCTCGTCTCATTTCTCTGTCTGTCCGACTCTCTCTCTCTCTCTCTCTCTCTCTCTC